ATGCGTTCGTTATATCTTCGAATCCACAACGCGGTCATCGAAAATGACAAGTATTTTGTCCAAAAGTGGAAATGTGCTGGACAGTTGGGACTATCTAGCCTTCAAAAGATTACTGCAGCTATGCGGATGCTCGCATATGGAGCATCCGTTGACTCCGTTTATGACTATGTTCGGATCAGTGAAAGTATGTCGATTGAGAGCCTGAAGAGGTTCGTTCGATCAATTATCGACATCTTTGGGGAGGAATACCTTCGTTCACCGACTAATGAAGACGTTGCACGCCTTCTTGAGGAAGGTTCACAACGAGGTTTTCCTGGTATGCTTGGGAGCATCGATTGCATGCACTAGTCATGGAAGAAGTGTCCAACCGCATGGCATGGTATGTATACTGTACGTCTTCCTTCAATCTGAGCAACGTACCCGCAGAACTTGTTGACCGACAGTTGAATTGTTGACCAACGATGCATCATTTAGTTTGGTGTGCGGCTCGTTGGATCGGTGGAGTATTGGATAAAGTAGTGGTTAGATCTTTACCAAAACTTATCTTTGTGTTGCCCCGTACCTTGAATGGCGTCTTGGCTCGTGTTCAGCCAAGCAGACATGAATTCATTTGTAAACGATTAAAGTTCTAATGAAATCAATGATGAAGGCAACTTTCGACGAAAACAGTTTGTTTCTATCGCAAAGATGACGATGTCGAAAATAATAGTGGACACCACGACGGCAATGCGAGGTATCCGTGGAAGCTTAATTCACGCTCGGGTTCAAGAGTAGGTGGGCAATTCAAAATCACGGCATACAATGGACTCCACACTTGTAGCAATCCTCGATTAGAGATGAATAACAAGAATGCGTCCTCTTCTTTTATATATCGATTGATTTTACCGCATCTGAGGGAGGATCTTGATCTAAGGCCGAAAGATATCCGTCTTTTAGTGCATAAAGCCACCAACTTGGATGTATCATATCACAAGAAAACTTATCTTTGTGTTGCCCCGTACCTTGAATGGCGTCTTGGCTCGTGTTCAGCCAAGCAGACACAAAAAGGTTATCCTTGTGGATAGTCAAAATTTCAAACTGTGTGTAAGCCTTCTTCTTCTTTGTGGTCGGTGTTTCTTGGGATGACACTTGTTGTGTTGCCGATTGCGAGAACTCATGGATGGGGTGATCTTCTTCTACGACGTCTGTGTAGAATAACAGGTATAAGGTTGATCCTTCACTGGTGAAGAGTTGCGAGTAGAAGTTTTAGGAGGGATCCATGATATTTATAATTTGATAGGAAAATATAGAGTTTTTTTTATGAAGAGTTGTGTGGAATGATTTGTGTAGTGAATTGAGAATTTATAGAAATTTTTTTACAGTTCATTTTTATTTTTTTATCTCAACAGCTATTTCTTAACGGCTATTTCCAAACTTTTTTTGGCTCAAAGAACAACATAGTGTAGCTGCTAGCTGGAAAGAGGTTTTTGTGTAAATTTTTTTATTCCCTAGGAGCTCCTAAGCGCTCCACAAATTTGTTGAGCGCTTGGGAGCTCCACTGGGCCCAACTTCCTACCCGTTATCCACACCAGCTAAGGAGGCCTCCTAGGAGCTTGTTAGAGCACCTCCAATAAGCTCCCACCGCCACCTCAGCCTTAGGAGGTGGGGTGGGAGCTTGTGGGAGTTTCCCTAACACAATACCCTTGTGTCCTAGGGGTAAGCAAATGATTGATTCAATTGGTTTTTAAAAATCTTGATAAACTTGAACCAAATTGTTCTATATTTAAAATCATATTGAACCAACCAAAATTAGTTCGATTTTCATAAATTATTTTGGTCGGTTTGATTTTGACTATATAGTTTGGGATTCATAGTAATTTAATTAAGAAAAATGTCTATTTGGACCCAAAAAAGATGCATATGACGAAAGTCAGTGAAAGAAAAATATGAGTTAAAAGATCGATAAAAGAACAATGTAAATTAATTGAAACAATAAACAATTTAAAGGAAAAAAGAAAAAAACAAATGAAAAGAAAGAAATAGTATAAATAGTATATTTTAAATTGAGAGAGCGGTTTGTTCGGTTTGTTTGGGTTGAAATTTTCTCAAATCGAACCGACCATAACACATTTTAAAACCGATGAACTGACAACAATTCATTCAATTTGGTTGGTTTATTTGTTTTGGATCGATTAATGCTTATTGTTAGATAATGTTACTATAAATGAACTATATACAATTAGAGGTGTAAATAGTTCAAATACAGCTTAGATATGATATTTACCATACTTATATCCACTTATCAATAATAGATACAAATACGAATATTAATGTACCCTGGTATGCGCTAAAATCAAATACAAATATAAATACACAGCATATATATAAGCGTATATACATGGGAATACAAAATGAACATGAGAAATCTAGATAAAAGAAAGAAAAAATATAGTCCATATCATACAAAAGAGTTCATTAATATGTTTATTAAAATTTAAAAATCTAAGATTAGAACTCTTGAACACCAAAATTAGCCTCAAATACAGTAATTTAAGGAGTAAAGCTATTGCAATTGTACGACCAACATATATTTAGATATTTTGAATATAGATAAAATATTTCAATACATATATTTATGAATCCTATTTTATCAGATATATGTTTTAATAACCATATATATATATTTATGAATCCTATTTCAATACATATATGTGTGTGTGTGTGTGATGAAAATGGATGAACGATTTGAGAAAATCGTGCAAAAACACGAGTATAGGAAATTTCTCGGTCGGTCGACCGACGGCATAGGCCCGGTCGACCGATGGACTGTTGGATTATAAGGTCTGAAACCCTATTCTGGTCGATTGACCGAACAACTTTGACCGGTCGATCGAAAATCTGGTCGATCGACCGAACATGTATGTCCGGTCGACCAAAAACGTTCACGATTACAGGGTTGAAGTTTGTCTCTCTGGCCGGTCGACCACAAACTTGTGCCCGGTCGATCGCGAAGCGGTTATAGGCCAGAATTGGTTTTCCTCGTTAGTTTTGGATTGAGTGTTTGATATAAATACAAACACAATTTTAGGGTTTCTTAAGAAGAGAATTAGTAGTCTTTTGAGCACTTTGAGAGGGAGATATTGTAAGGGAGTTGAGAGCTTTGGTTAGGATTATATTTGAGTGATTTTGTGAGTTATAACTCGTTGTATTTCTCCTCCATATAGTGAAATCTCCCCATCCTCTCCCCGTGGATGTAGTTAATTGTTGAACCACGTAAATCACTATATTTGGTTTAATTTGTGTCGTATTTTGGTGAATTATACTTGTAATTTGGTTTGGTTCTCTTCTCTCATCGCACACCGACTCGTTTGGTTGTCGAACACACTTCTACAAGGCGCACAACAATTAGTATCAGAGCTCCAGATTTATGATCTAGGGTTTTGGCATTGGGTGGAGGAAGATTCATTCTGAAAGCTTGGTTCTTGGAGTTCTAGGCTTCGGTGGAGATAGCGTTGTGGAGTTGCCGTTGGAGATCTCGCTTTCCTCGTGTGGTTAGGAGATTATGTTAGAATCCTATCTAGGGTTCAGTTGAGTAATATATTAATTTCTATCAAAGTTTGAATCTTTCTTTACAATTTGGAGTGGTTTGCAATGGAAGAAGAAGTTGGTGAAAGCAGCAAGACGATGGTGAGTACAGTTCAAGTTGGATTTCAAAGCACTAAGGTTAGTATGATGAAGTATGACGGTAAAATCAATTTTAGCTTGTTGATGAGCGACGTACAGGATGCTCTCAATGCTCAAAATTTGGAAGAGGCCATCATGGCCCATGAGAGGCCACTAAAATATGATGAGGCGATATGGGACAAGATGAATAGGAATGCTTGCGGGATGATCAGGTCTTGTTTGGAATAGGTGCTAAAATACGATGTGATTAGGATGACGTCTGCGATGAAGATGTGAGAGATTCTTAACAACAAGTACCTTACATTGAGTGTTAAGAATCAGTTTCACTTGCTGCGGAGATTATTCAGATTCCAGATGTTCAGGGGCACCTCACTTGTGGCTCATGTGAACAACTATACAAATTTATTGTCGGACTTGGTAAACATGGATAGAAGATAACGAACGAGTACAAGGCGATTATCTTGTTAGGCTCCTTACCCGATGAGGAGTATGATACTTTCGTTCTTACTTTGTTAAACGGGAGATCTTCCATCACCTACAGTAAAGTGAATAACGCATTGACGAACTACGATTTGAGGAAGAAGGACAAAAAGACTTACCGTGCTAACACTTCAGGAGAGGCCTTGTCGACGAAAGGTAGAAGTTCATATCTGAGAGGTGGTAATAGGAACATGTCAAAGTCAAGGGGGCCACCACTAGTTAGTGAAGAACCAGTGTGCGTTCTACAAGGAATAAGGACATTGAAAGAGAGATTGCCTGAAGCTCAAGGAGAAGAAGAATAGCAAGAAGAAGGGCCCGAAGGCCAATGAGGTGAACGTCACGAGAGGTGATGATTCCGATGATTCGTACTTTTCTCTATTGATTACTCTATAGGTGAACCATGTGGATACATCTGATTGGATGCTTGATTCTGGTGCTACTTATCATGTGACTCCCCGACAAGATTAGTTTGCATCGTTTGAGAAACTCGATGGGGGCGTGGTAGTTATAGAAAATGATCAATCCTGTGATATTTGTAGGATAGGTACCATCAGGATTCGGATGCACAATAGAGTAGTTCGTGAATTAAATGAAGTGAGATTTGTTCCTCTGTTAAAAAAGAATCTTATTTTAGTTGGAGCTTTGGAGGTAAAGGGATTCAAGGTGACCTTTGAGAACACTATAGCGAATGTTACTAGGGGATCTTTGATAGTGATGAAGAGAATTCACAGTAGGAATTTGTATTATCTAAAGGGGAGCATCGAGTTAGGCCAGTAGCTTCAGCTATTTTAGAGGTGGATGTGAGCAAGCTTTGGCACTATAGGTTGGGGCACACAGGTAAAAAGTCATTACAAGCTTTGTGCAAGGAGTGAATATTGAAAGGATCCAAGAGTGAGAAAGTTGAATTCTGTAAGCATTGTGTTCTTGGCAAAAAGACGAATGTAAATTTCGAGACAACCATCCATAGGATGAGGGGTATATTGGACTACGTGCACATAGATGTTTGGGGTCCCACCAAGATGGCATCACTTAGTGGACGACATTGGTTCATCATGTTTGTAGATGACTATTCTAGGCGTTGTTGGGTGTACACCATGACGAATAAGAGTGAAGTCTTAGAGATATTTATGGAGTGGAAGAAGAGATTGGAACTACAGACTGGGAGAAAGATTAAAACGTTACGATCCGACAACATCGGTGAGTAT